CAGAAGTTCGCAAAAGGTGATCACATGATCCCAGGGACACTGCGACCGTCATAAATAGGAACACGAACCATCTGAATTTTGATCATGTGACCATGGAGATGCCGCAACAGTCATAACTGTGAAAAATGGTCTTAAGACACTTTTTCTGTGCCATTGTAACTTCTCACCATCACTAAATGAACTGTTGTAAGTCAAAGACTACCTATAATAATAATTCCCCTGGAAAGCACTATCTTGATGTATTTGTGGGAGTTGTGTGATTTGAGGAGGATGAGAGCCAGGTCATTGTTGTTGTTCAGTTGCTAAGTCGGGTCTTGACTCTTCACGACCCCATGGACCATAGGATGCCAGGCTCTCCTGTCCTCCGTTGTCTCCCGGAGTTTGCCCAAATTCATATCCGTTGCGTTGATGACACTATCTAACCATCTCATTCTCTGCTGTCCTCCTCCTCCTCCTTTTGCTTTCCATCTTTCCCAACATCAGTGTCTTTTCCAGTGAGTCCTCTCTTCTCATTTGTTGGCCAAAGTATTTGAGCTTCAACTACAGGATCTGTCCTTCCAAAGAACAGTCAGGGTTGATTTTCTTTAGGATTGATATTGATTGGAACTCCTTGCAGTCCCAGCGACTCTTCAAGAGTCTTCTCCAGCCTTACAGTCCAAAAGCAATACAAACCATTGTGTACAAATAAACCTGTGTCTACCAAACCAGGGGTCTCCAACCTTGGCAACTTTAAGCCTGGCGGTCTTCAACTCCCAGGATTCCCCAGCCAGCTTTGCTGGGAGTTGAAGTCCTCCAGGTTTAAAGTTGTTAAAGTTGGAGGCCTCTGTACCAAACACATTTATGAAGGATCTACTTGTACTTCAGCTGGTAAGTCTAGCAAATTGAGTTAGTGCACGATTGCTGTTTTTTCTAGGACATCCTTCCCGTGATAAACCTCTTGTTTTCTGGTTTACTGCGGAAATTGGATTATAGATTTTGAGGCCGAATCCCTCAGGTAGCAGGCTAAAAGCTGTGGACACCACTGCGAGGATAACATGTGATAGCTCCAGATTCACACAGAGCACAGCAGGGATGAAACTGGAAGGCTAAAAGAAAAGCACAGAGCTAAATTATTGAGCCCTTTCCCCCGCTCCTTCCCAGAATTATCTTTATATGAGCAAAGGGAGGAAAAGTCAAATAATAGGAGGTTGGAAGCATTTTTATTTTTTTTAAAGTAGGCTGTAAGTGATCTGGGTCTTTCGGAATTGTTTAATAGGGATGCAGACTTTTTTTAAAAAAATATTTATAGCAGCAGCTATGATTTTTTGGGAGGGGAGAATAGAATAGAAAAATAGAACAGAATTCTTTATTGGCCAAATGTGATTGGACACAAAAGGAATTTGTCTTTGGTGCATATGATCTCAGTGTACATAAAAAGACAAGATACATTTGTCAAGAATCATAAGGTTAAAGGGCCTGGGAAAGGTCTTAGCTGAGAGATTTGAAGATTATGCTGTATGGGCCACACAGAGCTAGAATTAAAGTATGCAATTGTTGTGCCTTGGGAAAAGGAAGAAAGTTGGGGTTTTGTTTTGTTTTTTGCTGGCTGGGGAATTCTGGGAGTTGAGGTCCACACATCTTAAAGTTGTCCATTGAATGAATGTAATTGAAGGAGAACAAACAAAAGAAAGCATTATTTTTGAAAGCCCATCATTTGTCCCTAGAATTCGTTATCAAATGCAGTAATAGCCACTACATTGGGTGGCTTTAAAAGGGAGATCAGATAAACTCGTGATCAGGGTGGATTTGATTTAAATCGAGTTGATTTAAATCATGATTTAAATCACTAGTAAAAAGGATTGATTTAAATCAACTCAATTTAAATCATAATTTTAAAAGAGCAACTGTCATCTCTGCTACTCCTTTGACCCACTGTTGACTCACTGATAGTCCCAGTGTTGCAGAATATACAGCTTCATGCTACATAACTAAGCTCCATTTCATGGTGAATAAACTAAATTATTTATGTATCTTAAATAGAAAACTATCTTACGATAGATTTTTACCCCAAAAGTTTTTTATTAAAATAAATTCGATAAAAATTAAAAAAAAATCCGATTTAAATCAAAAAAATCTGATTTAAAAAAAAAATCATTGATTTTTATCTACCCTGCTCGTGATGGACAGGTGTGTCGAACAGCTATCAATCTTGAACATTTGATGTTATTTTCTGAGTTGGAGCAGCATGCTAGAAAGAACAATGCAGAAAGCACCAATAGAAACATCATTTTTGCTACCCTAAAAGGAACAGAGAGAGCAAATCATGGTTGGATTATCAGAGTCAAATATTTAGTGTGGTTTTTTTCTATTTAAACATGATGGAATGATGGAGAAAACAGCAGGGATCTGAAGCATTAACATCAGAAAAATAAATTTATGGCCCCAATTACACAGTGGATTGAAGATGTGATGGTACTTGAGGTTTATGAACAATTTGTTTACAGACAGATTATAAATGGATAATTATAATGAAATATGCTTGAAACTTGTGTAAAACTGGATGGACAGACAGACAGGCAAGAGTTATAGCTACATAGTATTGATTGTATTGCTTTTTTTTTTCCATTTTGGTTACTGGTTTGTTTGTTTTTTAATCTCCTTTTTTTTAAAAAAGTAAACTATCAAGAATGGAGTGGTATTTCAGGGATATGCGCATAGCAATTTTTCTGCATTTCAGAACATTTCCTTTGGGATATGTCTTAGCTTTTTTCAAGGGATATGAGCTTCTCAACCTGAAAATATTTTGTTTTACATTTAAAAGAGTTCCATTATTTAAAATAAATAGTTCTATCCCCTTGTTTAATCCCGATCTGAAAGCATCTAACAAACATAAAATGTAAGTATACCTTGTAAAATTGATCCATAAACGTGACAGAAATCTTCATCCATGTGTATGAGGAATGGGTGACTTCTATATCTTTCTAAATTAATTGTTTGAGTCGAACAGAACAGAATAACTGAGTTGTAAAGGACCATGGAGGTCTTCTAATCCAATTCCTGTTCAAACAGGGGGCCCTACATTATTTCAGATAGTTGTCTAATCTCTTCTTAAAAACCTCCACTGATGGATTACCTACAACTTCTGAAAGGAAGCAGGGCCTCTAATGAAGATTTCTTGGAATTGTGATTAGGAAACATCTGGAAGGTTACCAGTTGCCTACATCCACCATAGAAGAAGAATAGGCATGTCAAATCACTTCTTCACATTTGGCTACTATTCACCTTCTCGCTGGCTTCAAGCTCGGGTCTACTGCACCGTATTGTGTTGATATTTACGTATAGTTTAACTCATTATGTGTGATTTTGCTGTTACGCCACAAGTTCAGTTGTTTTCTTGCTACTGGGAAAGAGGAAGGAAGTCATGTAAAATGTGTGTATCCAGCTGCAAGTGTCACTTTTCCCATTGCCTCCAAAGTGGACATCCTGTGGAATCCATGAGGTTTATTTGCTGACCTTCGAAGGCTCCTTGTGGTTCAAATCCTACTCCGGTTATGATTTTAGGAAATGTTGAAGTTCAGAAACTGATAGAAAACATAAGAATATAAGTGGTGCCCTGCTGGATCATACCCATCCCATCTTTGTCTGAAATGGTATAGGGCCGTGATGGCGAACCTATGGCAGCACGCGTAGCCATTTCAGTGGGCACGTGAGCGTTGCGCTAGCCCAGCTCCAGCGCGCATGCGTGTGCCAGCCAGCTGATTTTCAGGTCTTCCGGTCCCACTGGAAGTCGGCAAATGGACCGTTTCTGGCCTCCGGAGGGCCTCTGGGGTGGTGGGGAAGGCCATTTTTACCCTCCCCAGGCTTCAAGAAAGTCTCTGGAGCCTGGGGAGGGCGAAAAAACGGTCCTACCGGGCCCACTGTACCATTGCGTGCCAAAAGCAGTGGAAACGCAGGGGGGCGGTCATGCACGCATGTGCGAGGGGGCAGGCCACATGGAATTATGGGTGTGGGCACACGTGCGTGCGACCCCCCCCACCACTCCCCTCACTTTTGGCACGCAACGGCAAAAAGGTTAGCCATCACTGGTATAGAGCAGTGATGGCTTACCTTTTCTGGACTGAGTGCCCAAAGCGCGCGTGTGAATGTGTGTACATGCAGCCGAATCCCAAAAATGCAATCCATTTGCAGCCCTGCGCATGCGCCCCGTCCCCCCAAGCATGCACCCTGCTCCCCATGCATGCACATGTGGGCCCCCTGCATGTGCCCCACCCCTGTGCATGCACATACCCCCACCCCCCACACATGCGCGGCAGAGACCCAAAGACCAGCTGACCGGCAGGAGGTGCGCGCGCATGCATGGCAGAGCTGAGCTGGGCCGATGGCTCGTGTGCCCACAGAGAGGGCACTGCATGCCACCTCTGACACAGATGCCATAGGTTCGCCATCACTGATATACTGTTTCCTGCCTAAGCAGGGGTTGGACTACTGCATTTCCCCGAATATTATATTAATTTTTGCTCCAAATGACGCATTGGGGCTTATTTTCTGGTTAGGTTTTATTTTGGGGGGAAATACTGTACTAAATGCATCCATTTGGCTGACAATCTTAACGGGCTTATTTTGGGGGTAGGGCTTATATTACGAGCATCCTGAAAAATCATGTTAGGGCTTATTTTCCGGTGGGGTCTTATTTTCAGTGAAACAGGGTAGAAGACCTCCAAGATCCCTTCCAATACTAGTCCAGCAGTCCACAACTGCACAAGGAGCTCTCTGGTCTCCCAAGAAATGGTCTTCAGAGGCCGTCCTATAGCCACTGACCCCAGGACTCCTTGAATTGAATTGGTCCAACCAACCACAATTCAACTTGTGTTGTTGAATTCCAAAATTTAATAGCTTTCAGTGAGATACAAAGCGTGTCTCTTGAAGACCAAAAATCTGTGCTCCCACCGCGCTCCTTCTGAAATCGCCAGATGCATTGCTACTTTTCAGGTGTGATTGTGGCTCCTGTTTTCTCTTGCCAGGTGATTCCATTCCAGCTGCCCTTGAAGAGATGTCATGTGGTGGGCAACGGTGGCATTCTGAAGAACAGCCGCTGCGGCAAGCAGATCGATCAAGCGGACTTCGTCATGAGGTAAGCCGCCATTTTGGCTACGCTTGCCTCTGCTCCCTTCCACTGTTTTTTTTTCACAGTACAAGTAGTCCTCAACTTACAACAGTCCATTTAGTGACCGTTCAAAGTTACGACGGCACTGAAAAAGGTGACTCAAGAACATTTTTCACACTCATGACCGTTGCAGCATCCCCGTGGTCATGTGATTTACATTTGAATGCTTGAAAACTGACTCACATTTATGACAGTTGCAATGTCCCAGGGGTTCATGGGATCCCCTCTTGCGATCTTCGGACAAGCAAAGTCAATGGGGAAGCCAGATTCACTTAACAGTATTGCTAACTTAACAAATGCGGTGAGTCACTTAACAACTGTGGCCGGAAAAGTCATAAAATGGGGCAAAACTCACTTAACAAATTTCTCACTTAGCAACATAGATTTTGGGCTCATTTATGGTCGTAAGTCAAGGACCACCTGTATAGAGAACCTTTTCTCAGGAAAAATCTAAAAATGGAATAGACCTAAAAGGTGGTCCTTGACTTACAGGCATTCATTTAGTGACCATTCAAAGTAACAACAGCACTGAAAAAAGGGACTTATGACCGGTTTTCATACTTACGACAAACTCACTTAACAAATGTCTTGCTTAGCAACATAAATTTTGGGCTCAATTGTGGTCGTAGGTCGAGGACTACCCGTATAGTAAAACTGTTCCACTTGATTATTTCCTACATAGTTAACTGTTTTCCCCTTCTGTCATATAAATAGCCCTCGACTTACAACCACCATTGGCACCAGAATTTCTGTTGTTAAGCAAGGCGGTTGTTGAGTGAGTCATGCCCAATTTAATGATCTTTTTGCTCCGGTTGTTAAGTGAATCACGTGTCTTTAAGCAAATCTAGCTTCCTCTAGTGACTTTGCTTGTTAGAAGCTGGCTGAGGAGGTCACAGATGGCTCGCGGATGCTGCAACCATCATAAATACATGCTGGTTGCCATGGGGATGCTGTGATGGTCATAAGTGTGTGGAGTGGTTGAAAGTTACTGTTTTCAGTGTTGTTGTAACTTTGGTTGTAAATCAATGGTTGTAAGTCAAGGACTACCTGTATTACAATTGAAATTTAGTAGACTTCTTCAGAATGTATTCTGAGGCCCACCCCAAGGCAGGATAGGTGCCCCATACTTCATATGGACTAGTAACTAAATTCAGGAGTGTTCCATCTGTGCTGTTCCTTTATAAAGCGTTTGTTGTTTCTCCAGCTGTGGTAGTGGTAGCTAAAGTAGCTGAATTAGAAATTTTGGCAATGAAGTTGTCTAACCTTTACGATAGTGAAAAGAGGCAGCTCTTTCTTTCTGTCTTCTCTTGTGCTCCAGTGAGTAATGAGAATCAAAAAATCAAGACAGACACAGACTTCAGAGGATAATTACAACTGCAGAAAAAACAATGGCTACCAACCTGCCTTCCATTGAGGACCTGTATACTGCACGAGTCAAAAAGAGGGCTGTGAAAATATTTATAGACCCCTCACATCCTGGACATAAACTGTTTCAACTCCTACCCTCAAAAAGACGCTATGGAGCACTGCACACCAGAACAACTAGACACAACGACAGTTTTTTCCCGAACGCCATCACTCTGCTAAACAAATAATTCCCTCAACACTGTCAAACTATATACTAAGTCTGCATTACTATTAATCTTCTCATCATTCCTATCACCCATCTCCTCCCACTTATGACTGTATGACTGTCGCCTTGTTGCTGGTATCCTTAAGACTTATATTGACTGATTCCCTATGACTATCATTAAGTGTTGTACCTTATGATTCTTGACGAATGTATCTTTTCTTTTATGTACACCGAGAGCGTATGCACCAAGACAAATTCCTTGTGTGTCCAATCACACTTGGCCAATAAAGAATTCTTATTCTAAAAAAAAAAATGTAAATATTGATCTGCGTGGGTGGATTTTCTATAAACTTCAATGTTTAACAAATTTCTATAAACTTCCTGAACTGTGCGATATACATTAAGGAAGTGAAAAGGCCTTAACATTGAAGTTTATAGAAAACCCACCCACACAGATCAATATTTACATTTTGATTCCCATCACCCGCTGGAGCACAAAATGGGAGTCATCAAAATCCTATGCCATCGAGCTGAAAACCTGCCTACCAGCAAAGATGGAAAAGAAAAAGAATGAAATCAAGGAAGCCCTCAGAATGTGTGGCTATCACAAGTGGGCCTTCATCAAATCTCAAAACAGACCCTACAGGAGATCCTCCACAACAGACAACGAAGAAAACAATAAATGAAGCAACGCTGTCATTCCGTATGTTGCAGGCATATCGGAAAAACTCAGGAGGATCTTCAGCCAACACAACATACGTGCACACTTCAATCCAAAGAATACTCTAAGGCAGAAGCTGGTCCACCAGGGGTGAAATCCAGCAGGTTCTGACAGGTTCTGGAGAACCGGCAGCGGAAATTTTGAGCAGTTTGGAGAACCAGTAGCGGAAATTTTGAGTAGTTCGGAGAACCAGTAGCGGAAATTTTGAGCAGTTCGGAGAACCAGTAGCGGAAATTTTGAGCAGTTCAAAGAACTGGCAAATACCACCTCTGGCTGGCCCCAGAATGGGGTGGGAATGGAGATTTTGCAATATCTTTCCCCCAGGAGTGGGGAGGGAATGGGGATTTTGCAGTATCCTTCCCCTGCCACGCCCACCAAGCCACACCATGCCCACCAAGCCATGCCCACAGAACCAATACTAAAAAAATTGGATTTCACCACTGTGAAAGGGCCTGGTGGCTCAGCAGACTGATAGCATTGTAATTAACACCAGCTGTCTGCAATTACTGTAAGTTCGAATCTCCCCAGGCTCAAGGTTGACTCAGCCTTCCATCCTTTCTAAGGTAGGTAAATTGAGGACCCAGTTTGTGGGGGCAATAAGCTGACTTTGTATAAATATACAAAAGTATGAAGGCTATTGCTTAACACATTGTAAGCCGCCCTGAGTCTCCGGAGAAGGGCGGCATATAAATCAAATTAAAAAAAAAAAATTGTGGCCCACCCCAAGGATAAAACACCCAGACATAAACTGAGCAACGTGGTATATGCAGTACAATGCAGCAGGCCACGTGCAGATCCGTACATTAGGGAAACAAAACAACCACTTCACAAACTCATGGCACAACATAGGAGAACAAACACATTAGGACTAGATTCAGCAGTCCATCTACATTTAAAAGACACAGGCCCGGACTCCGTTTTCGCTGGCAGAGGGCTATCAAAACAAACTAAAAACAAGACAAAAGGAGAAATGTTTCCCCTTTTGCATTTCAGCATGCAAGAAGGGACAGGAAAGGAGAAAGGGAAAGACAAAAAGAAGGGAAGATGGGAAGAGAGCAAGGAGGGCAAAATAAGGAAAGAGGGAAAGGAAGAAAAAAGAATGGAGAGGGAAGGAAAAAGAAGAGAAAGAAGAAAGGACATTATAATGAGAGTGAGGTCTCAGGGAAGTCCTGTCTTAGCACCTGGCCACCACAGATGTCTCTGACATGAATCCCGTGTCAGGCCCACCATGGCCATGCTCACCCCAGCTATGCCCACCGTTGCCACGCCTCCTGGCCACACACCCCTCCCCGGTCCTCCGAGGTCAAACACAACCCTTATGTGGCCCTCAATGAAATTGAGTTTGACACCCCTGTTCTAGTGGCTTTCCTGTCCGTGTTGGTGGGGATGGTCTTAGAGCAGTGGTGGCAAACCTTTTACTCACCAAGTGCTAATCAGCTACATGCTTCACGGGCTTCACACGCATGCGTGCCATCTGCACTAACTTGCGGCTCCTCTCCCGTGGGCTGCGCGCGCAACCACACGATCTGTGCATGCGCGCAGGTTTCATGGGGCTCTCCCCGTGGGCTGCGCGCACAATTGCACCATCTGCATATGTGCATGGTTTTTGCGCGTGCAATGCACATGCATGAAAACCCTCTGTGCATGTGCACACTGCTCGCAAGTACTCTCATGTGCATGTGCAAACACATGCACAGGAGAGCTCTGAAGACCAGCTGGGTCCCCTGAATTGCACACATGCGCACCGGAGGCCCGAACACCAGCTGGGGTGTGCGTGCATGCACAGCTGCAGGTGAATTGGGCGATAGCTCGTGTGCCTGGAAAGGTGGCTCTGCGTGCCACTTCGGGCACGCGTGCCATAGGTTTGCCATCATAGTCTTAGAGATTCTTTGATTGGGCTGTTTGCTGTTGGCTTTTTTGGCAGTTTCTTGACTGGGGTTTTCTTTTCTTGATTGTTGGTCTGATGTTAACTTTGGAGTTAATCTATGCTGATCTGGGTGCTGATTGTTGGTGGTGTTTGAGTCTTTTTGTTCCTTTTGTGGAACGGGTGATGGTCTCTTTTGCATAGTCTGATGATGTTACCTCATTTGGGTAATGAAACGTCTGCAAGAAAACAAGCTTGGAGGGCACCAAGGACCCCTCAAATATTTATTTATTTTTTATTTATATTTAAATTTCTATACCGCCCTTCTCCCGAAGGACTCAGGGCGGTGTACAGCCAAGATAAAACCCACAAATATAAAAATTAAAAGCAAATTAAAAGTATTAAATAATTTGGCCGAAACTAAAATAACATAAAACAACCCATTAAAATAACATTTAGGCCAGTCTTGCCTGCTGAAACAAAAGCGTTTTGAGGGCGCGGCGGAAGGTGCGAAGGTCGGGAATCCTACGAATCTCCGGGGGCAGCTCATTCCATAGGGCAGGTGCCCCCACAGAGAAGGCTCTCCCCTGGGGGTCACTAGTTGACACTGTTTGACCGACAGCACCCCGAGGAGTCCCTCTCTGTGGGAGCGTACTGTTCGATGGGAGGCTATCGGTGGCAGAAGGCGGTCTCGTAAATACCCAGGTCCTAAGCCATGGAGCGCTTTAAAGGTGGCAACCAACACCTTGAATCACACCCGGAAGACCACCGGGAGCCAGTGCAGCTCGCGCAGGAGCGGTGTTACAAATATATGAATAAGAAGTATAATTTATGATAACATGCTTTTCTTTTCTCTTCCCTTCAGATGTAACCTCCCTCCACTAAGCAATGCATACAGCAATGATGTAGGATCCAAAAGTCAACTGGTAACAGCGAATCCAAGCATAATTAATAAAAGGTAAGGAGCAGATTGCCTGTTTCTTTTTCAATTCCTAGGCTGAGACCAGAAGGGAAAAAAATGAGGCGTCTTGGGGTCTTTTTTTAAAAAAGAAGGAAGGAAGGAAGGAAGGAAGGAAGGAAGGAAGGAAGGAAGGAAGGAAGGAAAAAAAAAGAGGCATTTTAATGTCAGAATGTTGTGAGCAGAATTGTCTTTCTAGCAGCCCGTGGACAATCAACAACAATCTTGCAGGGGTGGGTTAAGAAATGAAAAGACTCACCTGTCATCTCAGCTGGCTTGAAATTGGTTTGCATCAACCTGCTTCAAAAAAGAGGGGCGAACACTGGAATTTGATAGTCGGAGCCAACTATGTGAAGTAAGCACGGGTCAAAAGCTCACAAGATTGCCAATTTTAGTTTTTAAAAAGGAGATTTTTTTAAGCCCTTGAACCTGGCCCCGAACCACGTAATATTTCAGGAGCCAAATATGTAACTAAACAAAAAATCTGTAAATGAGTCTCAATTCTATATGAGGTTTCTCCAAATGAGAAGTACAAGCAGAAAAAAAAAAAGCAATTTGCACATTACAGGTAGTCCTCGACTTACAACAGCTCATTTAATGACCGTTCAAAGTTACAATGGCACTGAAAAAAAGTGACTTATGACTGTTTTTCACACTTACGACCATTGCATCACCCTCATGATCAGAATTCAGATGCTTGGCAACTGGTTCACGTTTATGACGATTGCCGTGTCTTTGGGTCATGTGATCTGCTTTTGCGACCTTCTGACAAGCAAAGTCAATGGGGAATCCAGATTCACTTAACAGCCGTGTTACTAATTCAACAAATGCAACGATTCACTTAACAATTGTGGCAAGAAAGGTCGTAACATGGGGCAAACTCACTTAACAAATGTTTCACTGAGCAGCATAAATTTGGGGCTCCATTGTGGTCGTAACTCGAGGACTACCTGTACTATATATCTGCGGACCTGCAGTGGGGGGGTAGGGCGTGGTTTCATGCATTCCCCTGCCAGTTGTGCAAATGGAGCTTTGCACACTTGCACGCTGCTTGCACAGCCCAGTTCCCGAGGGGCTGCAGCCTCAAACCAGACCATGCCCCCCGGAGGACGGGAACCCTTGCTACATTTTGTCTATAATAAATACTAGATGCATTCGTGTCTCTGAATTCTGGAATAATTTCCCTGCCTAACCAAATAAGAGCTCAAAACATTCAAATTAACTATCAAAAAGTGATTTTTGGATGAGTGACATACAACGAAGGAGCTGAAACCCTGAAGTTCTACACACTACTGTTTGAGACAGCACCTACATTTAGATTCCTCCTTTAAAAACAAAAATCAACCTGAAATTTATTTGTTCTCACAGAGTGTTATCTTTGTGTACGGAATGAAGTCATCTTCTGTATTTGTAAACCTTCATTTCATATCTGCGCATAACTCGGTTAGAGTGTTTAGGAAATTACATCTCCCTTGCTTTTATTATTGTCTGGAATTGAGTGCTTTTTCAGCATCAGCGTCTGAAAATTATGTAAACTGCCTGGGTGTGATTTTCCAAAAGTCTCACAGGCTTTGGTAAGCTCCCAGACAGAGAACCAAGATTTATTTTCTGCAGAAAGATTTAGGCCCACCTCCCATACAGCAGAACATGGACTTTTCCTTCAGAATCCAAAGGGGTTGCGGCCTGTCGGCCAATGAAATCACAGGAGGAGGCGGTGTGGGAGTCAGGGTCAGTATCAAGGTAACCTGAGAGCTCCGAGGGGGAAGAGGGAATGGAGCTGGCAGAGAGATAGAGACAGAGGCAGAGCCTGGGCCATCTATCAGCCCTCAGATGGAGAGTCAACAGCCCCCAGATCTGGAGGTGGCTGATGAGAAAGAGGAGGAATAGCTGGGTCCAGTGCCTGACATGCGAATGCACAGAAGGCAGAGGAGAGGAGAGCAATGGAAATCTGTGGGCCGGTCCTTGGGACGGAAGAGCCACCGCTGCTAGCGAAGCCCGACCCTAGCTCTGAGGATAAAAGGCTGGGAGCAGAGATGAATAGGTGTGGCAGACAACTGAGAGAGACAGAGAGAGAGAGAGAGAGACTTTTTGCCGGAGCTGCTGGCGCTCCTAATAAAGAATCCATTGATTTAACTGCAGAGAGTTTTTCGTGTTTGGGAGCCGAGTCAGAACTAAAGGAGTCCCTTCAGATTTTACTCAGTTAGTCATTGCCGATTATAGGGGCATTGCCCATCTTCATTTCAAAGCCATTGAGCCAACACTGTCCGAAGACATTATCACAGTCATGTGGTCAGCATGACATCACAGAGTGCTGTTACCTTCCCACCAAAGTTGTACTGATTTATTTACTTGCATTTCATGTTTTTGAACTGCTAGATTGGCAGGAGCTGGGGCGAGGATGGGAGCTCACCCCATTGCATGGCCTTGGGGTCTCGAACCTGGGCTCTACTGGCCTTTCCAACTTGACAAGCCCAGCATCTTAACCACTGAGTCACTGTCCCACTCAGAATTCAAATCCCCTGCAAAGTCTTGATCTGATAAGCTGCAGGACAGATTGAAACCCACCAGGTTTAATGAAAGATGAGATGGGACTGGTACCAGCACTGCCAAATTTCAGCTGCACCTGAAATCCTCAAAATATCCAGCCCATCCTTTGCATTATCCAACCAGGTATCTACTTGTAGTTGTAAGCATGTAGAGCAGTACCATAAGGCGACTCTGCATTGATTCGCTTTGAGAAGAGGGAAGAAGGGAAAACTTTTGAGATTCTATTGCATCAGTACAGCTCTGGGATTTCTCATGAAGCTCTTCCTGGAAGGGTTGACCTCAAGTCTTGAAAGCCATTTTCTCTTCCCAGTCCTTAAGCTGAGGCTGTGACCCTCCAGAGTAACTCCAGGGTTGCTACCAGTGTTAAGTGTTTCATTGGACTGAAGGGAAAAACTATTCAATACAAGGAGGAAGATGTATTAATTGTACTGAACTAAGTAAATTTCTTCTTCTTCTTCCATGCCTAGATCAAACTTTAAACTGCCAGAATGAAGCCATTCTCCTGGCTTTTTCATTGGCCAAAAATAAGTCCTTATCGGTACATTCATTTCATTTTCATTTCATTTTATTAGATTTATATACCGCCCTACTCCCGAAGGACTCAGGGCGGTGAACAGCCAAAGAGATAAAACACACAGACTACAAAATTTAAAAGACAATATAAAAACCCATTAAATAATTTGACCCGAAACAGATTAAAACACCCCCATTATTTTAAGACAATTTTAAAAATTTACAATTAAAAAAGGGAAGTTTCTGGTAGTAGCCAACATACCAGCAAATAGGCCCTGCGTCTCTCCACATTCACGCGTGTTGTTATCTGCTAAGAGCTTCTTACTTCAGCATATTGGTCTTACATTTACAGTAGTGGCCACAGTTGTGGAGACCTTTTGGGAAAAGTGTATTTTCTAAAACTATCTAATAACACCACTTTTTTTTTAGTAGTACCATAAAATTATATATCAATGGAAAGATAAGAAGGACCTGTATACTGCACGAGTCAAAAAGAGGGCTGTGAAAATATTTACAGACCCCTTGCAATCTGGACATAAAATGTTTCAACTCCTACCCTCAAAACGACGCTATAGAGCACTGCACACCAGAATAATTAGACATAAGAACAGTTTTTTCCCCGAACGCCATCACTCTGCTAAACAAATAATTCTCTCAGCACTGTCAAACTAATTACTAAGTCTGCAATACTATTAATCTTCTCATAGTTCCTATCACCCATCTCCTCCCACTTATGACTGTATGACTGTAACCTTGTTGCTGGTATCCTTAAGTTTTATGTTGACTGTTTCCCTATGACTATCATTAAATGTTCTACCTTATGATTCTTGACAAATGTATCTTTTCTTTTATGTACACCGAGAGTGTATGCACCAAGACAAATTCCTTTTTTGTCCAATCGTACTTGGCCAATAAAGTTCTATTCTATTCTATAATTTAATCAAGAATGTAATGCAATAACCTTTATGGAGGATTTGCTATTAGAATAGCAGTTACAGTTTAAAGAAGAAAGGGAAATACATGGAAAAAAGGAGATATACAAAAATTATCACCATAGAAAAAATGAGATACAGTATACAAAAATTATCACATCAGTTAATGCTTAGTTGGGTAACCTTTAGCATGAATTATGGCCTTACAACGTCTTCCCATGGAGTGAACCAAGTCTTTTAGTTTTTTTTTTTTTTTTAATTTTGATTTATATGCCGCCCTTCTCCGGAGACTCAGGGCGGCTTACAGTGCGTTAAGCAATAGCCTTCATACTTTTGTATATTTTATACAAAGCCAGCTTATTGCCCCCACAAACTGGGCCCTCAATTTACCTACCTTAGAAAGGATGGAAGGCTGAGTCAACCTTGAGCCTGGTGAGATTCGAACTTACTTTAATTGCAGACAGCTGGTGTTAAATTACAGTGCCTTGTCTGCAGAGCTATCCAGGCTTCTTTTGCATCCTACAGATGCAACAGTTTTGCATCTGTTCGAATGTGAAACCAAGATAGATTGAATGATGGCTTCTATTAACTGGGTTTTATTGCTGGGTTGCGTCTGACTAACAAGTTTCTTTAGTCGGCTCCATAGATTTTCAATTGGGTTAAGGTCTAGGCTGTTCCCAGGAATATGATTATCTTGAAACTCCCCCCACCACCCCACAAACAATGGTGTTATTAGCCATCAAACCTCAAAAATACGCTTTTCCCAAAAGGTTTCCACAATTTTGGCCACTACTGTAGGCGCTCCCAACTCTCAACCTATTCAGAGTCCTCCAGATAGAATAAGGGAGGTCAGAGCCTTCAGCCAAATCTTCCTTTAATGTTATTTCATACTCAGTGGTCTCCTTCCTCCATCTTTTAATTCAGTTTTGTTCTTGCCGTAAAGCTGTTTGTTCTTGCTATAAATTAAGTAAATTGGAATCATTTTAAAATGCAAATTAAAACAAAGCT